GTTCATATTACAAATGATTTCTTGATACTTATAGCCCCAGAGAAACCAACTAATAAAATAAACAAAGAAATAAGAGAAAAAAAAGTTATTTCTTTTCTCTTCAAATCAAGACATTAGGACTGAGATTCACTTTAGAAATATATAGAATTGCCAAACAGTAATATCACAGTATTACCACAGAAATTTGCAAAGAGATTTTATCATCACTGTCCAAATACATACATCATTGAAAAATTGCTGAAATATTTATATTTTTGGGAGAAGGGTACATTTTTATGTATACAATGCAAATATAAACTAGCTGCATTTAGATTGCTTGTCCATTATTTTAAAAAAACTAATGCTGCTCATTGGAAGGCATAAGGCAAAAACATGGCTTTTGAAAGTATCTTATAAATTGGAAACAAGAAAATTCCCATTTTAGTAAGAGATAATCAAGTTTGCCTGACACAATAAACATAAACCTCAGAGATTTCTCATCATGCTAAATGATGTACTAGATTTGGGTAGAGATTATTCTGCTATGTAATAGAAATAAACAGAGATATTTATGTATATGCAAACAAATCTATATAAGTGTATCGATGCATTTGTGTGTATTTCTATAGACACATGGGTCTACAGAAATCCATAGAAATGGCACTCTTTGTCAAATGATTCCCACCAGACACCGTCTTTCTGGAGTTTTCACTGATATTAATACATATTTTGTCTTTTTCTTTTTTTTATTAATTTTAATGAAAGTTTACAGAGACTTACGGTTTCCAGTCATTCACTGTTGCACTTTTCACCCCATATTTTGTCTTTTAATTCGTATTTGTTCTTACTGTGTCTGTGTGAATGTAGAAACAGAAGATTTGTGTACATACACCATAATCAAAGCCACATGTATGTGTGTGGGTAATACACCTGGGAAAGTGGTTAACATTGGCTAATTTTGAGAAGATTATACCAAGAGGAAATGTTTTTGTTCCAAACTTACTAAAAACATCATGTATTTATGACTTTATATAGAATATTCACTTCTGAGTGTATGTTTTGCTGATTCTGTTATCTTTATGGAACAGTCTCAGCAGCTTAAAAGGTCCTAATGGTTAAAGATGCACCTATTAGTTGTAAAGTTTTAAATTTTTGAACCTACCCAGAGACATCTCTAGTGGCATTCATAAGGTGCTGGGCTGTTGGCTTAAAGGACAGTAGTTTGAATCCACCAATGTTCTTTAGGAGAACATCCAGTCAAAATTTAGGGGAGCTCTGGTGGAAAAATCCACAGAGAGCTGTACTACTTAATCAAAGGACAAGCATCTCTGGTGATTCCAATTCACTAGTGGTTCCCTGGAAGCACGATGAGCAACCTCCCCCCGTAATTCACAGCCTGGGAAACCCAATGGAGCATCAATTATATTCCTACTCAATGGCAATGAGGTGAGGTGTGTTACGATTTACAACCTTCTTGGAAATCCAAGAATCCACTATGAATCCTTGGAAGAATCCTTGGAAGAATCCTTGGAATCCAAGAATCCTTGGAATCCAAGACTTCTTGGAATCTGAGGCCACTATGAGTCTGAACTGATTCAATGGAAGTGAGTTTGTGGAGTTTGGTTTGTTTTTCTTTTTCTTCTTTTTTAGAGGCATCTCAAAAGATAAAGCTGGAAAATTTGCTCTTTGATTTTGTTTTCAAGATCAAAGCCTTGAAAACACACCATAGTGTCAGGCCAGTCTGCACAGAGAAGGTTGCTTTTAGCCAGAATCTAGTCAACAGCTTCTCACACAACAGCAAGAAGCACAAGTTGTTTGCATTGGGCAAGTTTACTATGTATGGTTATATGAAGACACTGTTGCTCCAGGGATAGGCAGGTAACTCGGAGACATTTGTTAAGACACCATTTACACTTCACTGTATGCACATCCTGTAGAATGCTTTTTATAGCCAAGTAATGTGACCATATTTGGAAATTTGAATAAATACATGTCAACGTTTAAAATATGCTGTTGTTAAATAGTCAATCATATAAAATCGATAATGACAAAAAGATACAGTGATGCAATCTTTCTCCTTTTGAGATTTGACAGTTGATGTTTATAACTTAATTCAGGTATTCAGAGAAATTTAAAGTCACAATATTAAGGAGCTGTAAACCATTTGGCCATTTGAAAACTCCACACCTCTGAGGTTGATTTTGTTTGTTCATTTTCCCTTTTAGTTAGTAATTGCCAATTCCTTACAATGAGTTAGAGCAGAATAACAATCAAAGTACTTGACACAATATTCTAGTCAAAGTATACACACATGACTGTGTCATTTTCAGGTCATTTCATGTGGAAAGGAAGAAACAGGAGGAAAATGTACATCTAAAGACACATGTTCCCCTTCCATGAAATTTTAATTCACAAACACAAGAGAGTGGGAGGTAAAATGCTTCTAGGGATAATAAGAGAAAGAGTTTAGAGACTTTTTAGAATGACTTTGCTTCATACAGGTGAAACTATACTCATAAACAGATGATTAAAATTTAAACAAATATATATGAATTACTTTTTTTTTCAAAGGGAGTTTGGATTTATAATTTAGGCAGTGATAAGAAATGTTGCATTAAAAATTAGCGTCAATTTTAAAATAAATTTCACTTTTCTATTAAAAATGGGATTGCTATTTTGTGCATAGGGCAAATATCAAGAAAATAACTAACTAAAGTTCATTAAAACACTCTTCTAAACCACGCACCACAGCAACATGATGTCATTTGCTGATCCATCTGGAGAGTCTCCTCACCAGAGTTAATTCTTAGAGCAGGCTTACCTGAAACACTAGGAGTAGGAAACCGAATGTGCACAATATTTCCTGATGTGTTAACTGAACTTAAATTTAAATGCTATCACCAAGGTATTTGTTGTCTTGTTTTGGTTTTTTTTTTTTTTTTTTTTAGGAAATCAAATCTCAAACCTTGTATAAACAACATGGATAGATTTTACCAAAAAAAGAGAACCATTTCCTTTAAAAAAGAAAAGAAATATAAAAAACGTATCTAATATGTTGAAGACTCTATGAACTTACACTATTTCTAAGTATAGATATTACTTGCTATTGATAAACGGACTAAATATATGATATGAGACACAAACATAAATAACATAGATATTTTTGCCTAAAATAATAAGTTGTAATAGAGAGGAGACTTTTATTTAATCAAGGGTTCTAATAACATTTATATTTAAAAAAGAATTTCTCTTTTTAGATAAATAAAACCCTATGTTTTAATTCTAAGCTCAAGTTACTGATGTTCCAAGAGAGCCAAAGTCAACCTAGAAAATCAATCTGGTGGAAAGAAAACATATCTGTGGAGATTCTAAATCACGAATACTTAAAATACGAAGTGAAAGCAGAAAGTTTCACTGAAATACAGATCAATGGATCTCTTGGCAACAAAAAATCATCTTTTAGAATCAATCTTGGATAGCTAATTGGGATGAGGAAGGAGGGGGGAGAGGAGTAAAAATAACAAATAGGTGAGCTGGGTGAAAGGAAAGGTGATATACAATAAGAGTTTGGTTAGACAGTGTAGTGAATTAATTACATTAATAAATTGTAATTAATGCTATAAAGCAAAATGTGTACAATTGGTTGAATGAAACACCAATAAGATTTGTAAACTTCTACTCAAATGAACTCATTTTTAACACATCAGAATAATCAGCAATGACTCAGGCAACTGTTTTATCTTAAAAAGTTGATTTACCCAGATTTGTTCTCAAACCTACAGCAATAATTTATCACATTATAGTTTTTATCCCTTTAGTTGCCATTCCAAAGTAAAAGAACAATTATTACCTAGAAATTAAAACACAAAAGTCAGTTAGTAATATTTGACTAAAATTAGGTTAGAACAAAAAAATTATTGACATTCTTTTCTAAGATTAATCTTAATCAATGTTATCTTCAGACATATAGCATAGTCTTAAAACTCACAAATATGTTTTAGTCAAAAGTTGAAATGAAGGAAATCCTTACACTGATAAGATCTCCAATTCATCACCTCTATTTTAACAATCATAAAAATTAATTATCTAGCTGAACATGTTCAAAACAACCTTTCTACAAAATAACAAGCAAGATATTTTAAAATTATTGAACTGAGAAGATAATATGGTACCTTTGAATCATAACTGCTATCATTTATGAGTTAACTAACAAATAAGGCAGAAAGCATTTTTGTTATTGAAAACTTCTTACAGTTTATATTTTTAATAATTTTCATTTTCTTAAAGAAAGAATTCTTGGTCTTAGCAAAAGTCACACACTATACTAAAAAGACTAGACTCTGTTATCTAGAAAACACTGCAATTGAAAGACTGAGAGTTTTACCTCTCTGAACCACGTTTTGTAGTATAAAACTGTCCATGATGCCCAGTAAGGATTTAAATGAGAACAAGTGAAAATGAGGATTTATATGAGACTGCCAAATCAATCATTGGTGTAGACCCACATTCATTTATTTTGAACCAGAAAAGTGCCACTTAAGTGTCATTTGACTTTGTTTGCACTTTCATTCCTTAGCCTGGATCATGATACAGATGTCTAGAACTACCATGTTCAAACACTCTAAATGGTACCCAGGAACAAGTAAATGATTATTTCTAGAACTGAGGTATAGAAGACCCACCCCATCAGACCATTATTTCTCTTTCTTCATTTTAGTTCCTTTGAAAACTAAATATATAAACCATTTTTTCCTTTTCTTTGTTTTATTCTATTTAGTGGCTGTTCTCCCTATAGTGAGTTTGTTTCTGTGCATATGTAAAAATGGATGGTTCTATTTATTTAGAATTATTTACATTATTGCAGGTATTAAAGAAATATTCCTACCTTCCATTTTCAAGGCAACTGCAAACAACCACAAAGAAAGTTACCATTTACTCACCTGCCATGTTTTTCTACAACCCCCACCTTTACTCCCGAGACATCTCATGAAGGGAAAGAAGAGAAAAGTAAGAACTTTTACCCTAATGAAGAGGATCTTTTCTCCCACTCGGTATCTCCCTTGGGAGAGCCGCTCAACACAGAACTTGTTTGGGCATTTGCAAGGAGGATCTTCAGAAATCCGTTTCACCTGAAATAGAAGAGTAACAACGGTCATTCTCTTTAGCTGGGTCTTACTTAGAGCAACTTGTTCAGAGGGTTCCACAGCTTCCTAGAACTTTCAGTTTGGTCCATTATGGGCCATGGATGCCAACGCAGGAGTAGCATATTGAACCATAATTCAGTCAAGAAAATCCTGTAGATCTGTGAAAGACAGACGTGTGCTAAACTGTAATGTGTCATCTATAAACCAGGTAGTTTAAGCCTGGCTGCAGCCATGTCTGAACAAGCGCAGTAGTGCTGTGATGTTTTGGGTGTAACTGCATGTGCTGTAAGTGTGATAAGGGCAGGGAGACACCTGTGTTCTGAGAACTAGAACTTGGTCAGCAGGAAAGTTCCTGGGTGGCTCGTGTGTGTGTGTGTGTGTGTGTGTGTGTGTGTGTGTGTGTGTGTGTTTCCTGGGGCTGGCAGTATGGCAGTATGGCAGTCAGTGTGAGAACCAGAATAAAAGTGATGTTTAAGCCTCCTGAAACTCCTCAGCTAACTCTGTGTTTATATTCCATTTGGCCACTGAGTCTAAGCATCAGGCATTGGTTGATTGATTGCCTTAGACCTGATATTTAATATAATA